CAAGAGAACTTTATTGTCTCCCATTTATGGAGGCCAGTAGTCTGAAATCAGTGTCACTGATTTAAAGTAAGGTGTCAGCAGGGATGTACTTCCTTTGGAAACTCTAGGGGAGAAGACAATTCATTCCTTGCCCTTCCAGCTCTGGTGGCTGCCAGTATTCCTTGGCTTGTGGCTGCATCTCCTAAGCTCTGCCTGTGTGGTCACACTGCTTTCATGTGTCTGTGTCAAGTCTTCCTCATTCTTATAAGAACAGTAGCATTTAGGATAATCTCACTTCAAGATCCTTCATAAGATTATATCTTCAAAGTCTTTTGTTCTGTTTTGCTGCATAAGGACATTCACAAGTTTTGGAATTAGGATGTGATTATCCTTTGGGAGCCATAATTCGGCCTGCCACAAAATTCTTTTCATTATATGTCAAAAAATACATAGTAATAAATCTCAAAGTAATTGCAAATAATTTATCAGTGATGGTTTAATTGGTCCCTTTAATATGGGTAAACAATTCTGAGACTTTTTTTTTTCTTTTTTTTTTAGAGACAGAGTCTTACTTTATTACCTATGGTAGAGTGCTGTGGTGTCACAGCTCATAGCAACCTCTGGTTCTTGGGCTTAGGTGATTTTCTTGCCTCAGCCTCCTGAGTAGCTGGGACTACAGGCCAGCTATTTTTGTTGTTTTTGTTGCAGTTTGGCCAGGGCCGGGTTTGAATCCGCCACCCTCGGTCTATGGGGCCATTGCCCTACTCACTGAGCCACAGGCGCCACCCAATTCTGAGACTTTTATACATAGTCATTGGAGTCATTCATTTTCTGGCATAGCTGCCAATATATTGAATTATCCCCTCATTTGGTGCATTTGAAGATTTACACCCCAGACCAATGTACCAAAGTCAGGTTCCATTTGAATGAGAGGTTTGCCTTTCTCTTATGAAATGCAATTTAAAAGTGATGTGGCCAGAAAAGTTGTGTTCTTAGGAAGGTTAATTTTAAAAGATTCTGAAAACTGGTTTTGCTTAACACTACCTACATTCCCTGAACAGTGTAGAAAGTGTTTGTACTTCTAATTTGATGACTGCTGTCCTTAGGACATGTCTAAAACTCGGGCGGGAACAGAGTGAAGCCTGTGGAGAAGAAGGTAGAGTATTCCGCAATTTCCACAGAGATTCTGAACCTGCCCATCTCCCCGTTGAGAGCTGATGAGCTATGATAGTGCCAGCTGATCTTGACAGCTCAGGCTAGATCATTATAAACCTGCCAAGAAAGCCTGATTCTGAAGGTACATAAGCCTGGCCAGTAGGACGTGAATCTCACCTTCTAGGGCAGAGTTAACCCCTCATATATTTTCTTTGTTGCCATTTGTGACTAATTTAACTTCTATTCATGATAATCTCTCAGAAGTGTGGTGTTAATTCTCAGTAGATATCTGCCATATTCCAAAATATTTCACTTACTTAAGCTGGTGGAAATAGAACTCTTAATTAGCATAATATATCATTACAATATTTTATACTCTTAAATTTTTCTTTTCAAGGACTTAAAATTTTTTTTTGTAATAGTTACTATAATTTATCTCTAACAAATACCTTTGAAGTTAAATAAGAAAAATCCACTCTTTAAATCAAGTAACAGTTTTTACTGAGAACACTACCAATTATATTAAGGAATGAAATGTCCAAGTCTTTTCACGGAAAAGCTTAAAATGGAACATTGAGGATAAATGTGATCTACATGCTAAATTTAAACTTTTAGGTTCCAAATAGTAAAATAAGTGTGTTTCTCCATTATTGTGTTTTCTGGAAACTGCTGAAATAAAATCAAAGATGTGAGAATATTTTCATAGCTTCACTAACCATGCATTCTACCAAAGCTTATGAGAAAGGACTTCCGTTCCAGAGATTGAGTGTGCCCTTTTTGTTTTTCACTCAGATTATATATTTAAACAGAACAGTTGAAAACATTCATTCTACCCAAATACTAATATATCTTCTATTTAACAGCTTCCAGGTCTTTAATGCCATGAGACGAGAATAATCAGTATTGAGGTGCTGTGGTCTTAGATGTAAACAGACCTGTCTTTGAAATATTTTTTGTTTCTGTTTTGTATTGTGTTTTGCATAGCTTAAAAATACTCTCATAATGTCTGGTTAACCTCACAGTGCTGTTAAACACCATTTTCCCATTTGCGTGTTAAAATGAATGAAAGTAACTAGAGTGAGTTTTTTTCTTCCTTGAACATGATACACAGCTGAAGATACCCTTTGTCAATCAAAGGACCCACTGGCACCTTTACCTGTCAGTCTTTTACGAACGCTGTTGATACAGAGAACCAAAAGACAATGATTAGCCAAACTGCAGTGAACAGCTACTCAGTTTTGCCTATTGTTCAGGAGACATCCTTGACCTCTTTTTTGACTAAAATGATGAATTTTTAGTGAATGCAATTCTAAAAGAAAGTGGTGTCTATTATTTCTTGAAGTATTTTTAGATACAGCAATAAGTCAGCTCATTATAAACACATGAGAAATAAAGGTGTCAAGAAGTAAACAGAATGATTCATAATTTCATATCGCTAAACTTCTGATAGCATTTAAAATATTCTTTAATCCATTTCCCCATTTTAACATAATCTCTGTTTTTATTAACTTTTTAGACTTTCTTTTGTGCCCTTAAAAATATATCTTGTGTGTTTTTGATTTTTTAATTTTCACATTAGAGATTTCACAAAAAGTAGCAGTTCCTCCTGCCTTCCTCAAATAGTTTAGCAAATATTTATTGACAGTTTTGTACCAGGCCTGTTTTCTCTTGTAGAGCCTTGGGGATACAGTATGAACAAAAAAACAAAAAAGCATGGCCCTGTGCATTTGCATTCTAGTGGGGAGAAAAAACAAGAAACACAGGACTAATACTGGTTATCTCATAGGTAAGGATGGCTGTGGGGAGAGAGGGAGTCGGGAGACAAGGACAGCAAATGCTGGTGGCCGATGGCAGGGGTGCTCTAGAGAGAGGCATTGTGGAAGGCACAAGTGTTTTTCTAATTGTCTGGAGGTAAGGTGAGGTTTCAGTAGGGACCAGAAGCACACATCAAGGCCATGCAGTTAAATGGAAGATTGTTCTGGATGGAGGGAACAGCTAGTGGCAAGGCCTGGACATGGCCATGTGCTTGTATGTAGGATGCAACCCAGAGGCCAGTGCTCCTGGACAGCGTCAGTAAGGTGGAAAAAAATGGAAGTGGACTTCACAGACCTGCCCCATCAGAGGGTTCCATCAGCCAGGGAGTGGGCTCTTACTCTTGGTACTTACAGAGTGAGAGAAAAAGCAACAGGAGGTCTTTGTGTCAGAGAGGATGTGATTCACAAGTATACCATAAAGAGACCAAGAGTTCAAGTTTTGGCCTTTGAAGGCCAAATACGGTGTTTTGCTTTTACTTCAGACTACCTGTGGCTCCCTGAGATGATCCTCACCTGGCACATTTTTGCTGGTTGCTCATAGCTACCTGGCATCATCTTCACCTGTGGTGTGCTGAGTATCTGTCAGATTTAAAGTCTGTGAGAGCCCAAGTCAACAATATTTTAACTTAAAAAATAGATGCAAGTTGAGGGTTTTCTGCACGTTAATTCACTTTAATGACCATACTAAGTTTACAACACTTTCAGAGACATTATTTGTTGTTAATAGGTATGCTACTATTGTTTCTCGTCCATGAAACCATATCACAAATCACTGAAGTCAAAAGGGGGAATACTTGACAGTCATGGGAGCCAAAGTCCCTTTTCAGAGTGACATTTTCTGTCAAAGAAGAACCTTCAATCGCATTTAATATGAATGCATGTGTGCATGTGATAGTGTCTATTAATGTTCATATGGTAGATATTGAAATAACCATTTCACATGCAGAAATACGAAGATCGAGTGATGAAATTCCTTACTCTGGATCAAACATTGCACAGATCAAAATTTTGTCAGATTCTAGTCTGTGCATTTTCCACTGAAGCTATTTGGTTTCCTCTTACCCTGATAGTTCAAAAAAATGTTTCTGGATTTCTATGGTGGGTTTGTCTCTGTCAGACTTTACCTCTCTGTCTCTCAGGAATGTACAATTTAAATGTGGAACCCCTAAGGACATTTTCAGAGGAACTTTCTT